ATTTTCTATGGAACTTGCACTAATGAAGAAAAATATTTTATCAGCGAAGGACCACTCAAGTTTAGGATGTTATTAGTGTCGAACAATCAAGATAATATGGTAAAATTGTTGTGCATTGGTTGCAAACTGATCATTGTGCAAAATTTTCTATGGAACTTGCACTAATGAAGAAAAATATTTTATCAGCGAAGGACCACTCAAGTTTAGGATGTTATTAGTGTCGAACAATCAAGATAATATGGTAAAATTGTTGTGCATTGGTTGCAAACTGATCATTGTGCAAATCATGATTGCATAATCCACAAAGTTACAAGGTAGAAATGAAACACCCATCTTCTGTTATGTTTATAATGTAAATTAAATAACTATGATTAGTTCACAAAGTTTTTATGTTGTGCGGCATATAATCATCCTATGTTCTTTCGATGTAAACAATTGTTTCCTTTCGGTATTTGCCTCCTAAGTTCATCTCTAAACCTGTTTCGGTGGGAACATGTAATAATATGAAGCAAAATATCGAAACAGAAAATAGCTAGATGCTTTCTTCAGAAAACTTACCAATACATTAAGCATCTTTAAAGGTAAGCACAACAGTAAGTGTCTCAATTCACTCCCCTTTATGGATGGAAGAAAAATACATCAAATGTGTATGGTATAGTAATATACTAATACAATCTTTTTCACTGGTTTATCTAAACGGTTGCATATACATGAGCAGCCAGATCTAGCTGTATTGTAGGATTCATTGCCTCTCTGATTTGTGTTGGTTCTATATACTTTTTCTTTTTCTTTATTACCAGTGGGAACATTTCTGATTCAATTCAAAGCTGAATCATGGACTGTAAAAATTTCATGCATGCTTTGCACTTCCAGGGCCTATTGGAACATCTTGCATTGTATGAAGCCCAAAAAAATTAAAATAAAATATGCATTGGAACCCAATCCTCAAGTCACCATGTGAAGTTTTTTCAGTCACTAATTAGTTGAATTGATTATGATATGTTATTTGGATTTCTGTTTTGGAATATCTTTTTGTTAAATGAGAACTGTCGATATTGTTAATTTCTCTGATGTCCATCTTGTACTGTGCAGGCTCACCCTTATTTCCTTCAAGTAAGGGCTGCAGAAAACAGTAGGATGCGCGCCCAATAGCAGTAAGTGAAGGAAGAGCATCTAGTAATGAAATGGAAGTGTTGTGATTGTTCTATATTTGATGGTGGATTGTCTCTTCGATTTGGGCACATGTGCTATTAATATATCTGTCAAGACTATTTTCCTGAAACTGGCTTAGCAATCAACAAATGTATGAGAATCACCAGACTGGTCAAAACGTTCTGTTTTCCGTCACTCTTTATCAGATAGCATGGATCCATTTAATTCTCTAACTTGCAAGATCTTCTGGTAGGGGTGGCTGGTGATTTCCGTAGATCATCTGTATCCTTGTAAACTTTTTTCCAATTTTCTTTTCTTTTGCTGTTTTCTTCTATCATATCTTTGGAATCATTTGTGCGCTTGTGTTTTT